CCCCCCCGTGGGGTAGCTCAAGGTTTCTCATTATTTGGGCCCCACCACCACCACAGAGGTGGGGAGCAGCTCTGTGGGGAGGGGGAGCACCTGTCCTGGTGGGCACTGAGCCCCCCACCTTGGGTTCCCTGTTGCCAGCACTGTGCTCACACAGGCAGCATGGGGCTCACAGCGGTGCTGTGGGCGGAATCTTTGTTCCCCTCCCCTGCTCTGGAGCCCCCCTGACCCCTCAGTGGGCTGCAGCACTGCTGGGGAAGGCTGGGCACAGCTGTTTGTTGTGGCACAAGTGCCTACGGCCCTGACAGCATTGCCCGGCTCTGGGGGCTTGGTCATTTGGAAGAAGGAAACCTTTGCAGGTAACGGCAGCAGTCGTCTGAGACCAGGGACTAAACATGTGAGTTGCCTCTAGAAAAAGAGATACTGTTTCATGCAGATGTTTCCAGCAGCAAATAGAAAGACCGATGAGGGCAGGTCCAAGAGGCCGGTGGGCCTTGAGGAGTGTTACAGGAGCAGAGCTGTCAGTATTCAGAGACACTCACATTAACTTTTTTTTTTTTTTATAAAAAAAGTAAGTGTCACCTTTCACTTTAATCAACTGCTGTTTGTAGCTACATGTTTCGGGGTTTGTTTCCAGTGTAATTCACCTTTTTCCTCAGTGTGGTGCTGGAAACCTTCAGTCCATCTGAGAAATGGTGACCGGCTTCCTTGCACAGGGTGTGGCAGAACAGTTCCATGGCAGACTTGTTTGGGATGAAGGAATCTGCACCACAGGAAAAAAAAAAAACCACAGTCACTGTGGAAACTCCTCTGCTAGCACAGTAAAGACAGAGCTTGTTTTGCAGTCGTAACCCTTAATGTTAACTTTAAATGTTCAGCAAGCTGGAGCTTCTTATTTGTGAAACGCAAGGAAATCTCGCTTCTGAGCAGAGCGTGGTTTCCAGCCCCTCCTGGCAGCAGGTATTGCTTGCAGAGCTGTTTTGACCTGTGAAGGTGTCTGTGCTGGGGAACGGGAAGTTCATATGGATAACCTGCATCTTCCCCCTCTGCATGAAATACTGGTTTGAAATTAAAGGTTGAGCCAAAACATTATGAGAAATGAAGAGAAGATTTAAGAAATAGCATTTAAGAAGGAGTGGAAATTGCACAAGCTGGAGGGGCCAGCTTTTGGATTGGAAAAATTTGGATTTGGAGGAGGGGCAGGAGTGACTCAGCCTTTGGATAATTGATAAGTGGGCTAATTTGCATGTGTGCATTATGGCTGTTTAGCGGCCAAGAAGAAAAGCAGAATTGCTATGGCCAAATATTTCCTTTCATGTAGTCTAGTAAAGATCCACTATAGCTTTTCTAGCTGAGAATTCTGTCTCTTGGGTACATGAAAGTACAAACTGGAGCCCTCGTTAGTCAGCAGAATATTTGAATAATTGATCAAATTAAGGCTGGGCCACATACTTCTGTTTGTAGTCCGCGAAGGGCGTGCTTTAAAAGCTGTGCATCTGCCCACGTGTAACACTGGTGCTTAGCATTGCTGTGTTTAATCAGTGTCTTCAATTTTTCTGATCAATGCATTTATTTTTGCCTTTGAAGGAACTAATTTTCCCCTCTGCAACGTGAGGGACACAAGCCCCACGTTTGAACTGTGTCACGGAGTGTCCCTCACGCTCAGCCCAAGCATACCATGGCTGCGGTGGTACTGCCTCGCACCGCTGGCACTGCCGCGGTGTCACCCCATGTCTGCCGTGGCCTCGTGCTGGGGGCAGCGGAAGAGCCAGTCCCGTGCCCCGGCAGTGCAGAGAGGTGGATATGCGAAGGGAGAGCGCCGTGTCTCTGCTGCAGGGGTAAAGCAGTGCTCCAAGAGGGTGCAAACCCTCAGAGAGGAGACCGGTCCCGGCGCTACTGTGTTCTCTTCCCAGAGACACCAGTGTAATCCCTCTTCCCTGCTCACTGGCACTGCTGTCTACTCCGCCAGCCTCCCCCAGAGGAGTTTCCCCAAAACATTTGCCAGGTGCATGTGAGCTGAGGAGCTGTGCTAGGCTTTTGCTGTTAAATGGGTCTTTCATTGTGTTGAGGGCAGTAAGTTTTGGGTGGTGACACGCTGCTGTTCTGTTGCAGCTGAACTGTATGGGGGTCGTTCCCTCTGGCTGCACCCATCGGCTCTGCCAGGTGAGAGCCTCTTGATTCTAAACCTCTTCTTGCTAAATTATACCTTTCTTTGTGGCTTTGCTGACAACATGCTATGTCAGTAAATCATGGCTGGTTTCACAGACAGGATAAGCTCCTGCAGTGTGCATCAAGCAAAACCTCTCTGTGCATAGAGTTGTTGCATTCTGCAGCATTGCAGAGATGAGCACAAAACTCAGCACAGCGCTTCTTCTGTTTTTGTTAACAAAACTCCTAGTTCATTTATGTTCGGCACGAGATTCCCTGCGCTATGCCTGGTGGAGCTCCCTGGTGTTAGCCGTTGACTTCACCAGGAAGGGCTGGTCTTTAAATAGGATGTGGGTGTTATGTTTGGGGTTTTTTTTAAGATCCTGTCAAGGTCTTGCTGCGTAACCTTGGACCAATTTCATCTTTCCTTTTCTTTCTCCCTCAGTTCCCAAACATGAAGCTGAGACAGTGACTGTGACCTACTTCACAGGCACTCAGGAGGGTGTCTTGCTAAATTAAATGCAAGGCACTTTTAAGTTCCTTAGAAATGTTTGAGGGGGAGCAATGAGCAATTTTAGTTTATTTTTAATAGAAGGGAGGCTTCAGGAGCTACAGCTTTGGGAACTGAGGCTTTCCTTTGGGCGGTTGTGTTGTACTAATGCACAATAAAGCCCCAAATACCAAGCGGGGCTTGCGGAAGCTAAATTGCAGGGGGTTTTGCACCCATTCCTAAAGAGCTTGCGAATCTGTCTTGTTTCTTTGAAAAACACCAAAAGAATGCAAAACAGTAAGGAAGAAAACGGGCTGTGAGGAATGCTCTTCTGCTAGGTTTTTGATTGATTGTTTTTTATGGATGGTAAAATGACTCGCAGCCCCAGAGAATGCCACCGCAGATCGGTGAGAGGGGGCATTGTGCCTCACTGTGGGTGCCCTCAGTTACCTGCCCTGTGAGGGAAGGGGGGCTTGCTGGCCGGGAATTCCATAACGAGTGAAGGAGAGAAGTTTGTTAAGGATGATAATTGCTCAGAAAAGAAAGAAAAGGCGTTGTATGCATGCTGAAATGCACCAGCTGCTTTTCCAGCAGCTGGTCAAAGTCTCACAAGGGATAAACAGTTTTGGTTGTTCTAAATCTTTGAGCAGTAAAGCAGAGCAGGCATATATTTAAATCAGCTGTTCTTGATGTAATTAAACCCAGGGAAGGCTAAATGGCACAGATGCATTGATGGCTGGGACTGGGTGACTGTGGAAGGGTGCTCAGCTGTGAAATAATGAATGAGTTGTTTTGATGGAGATGAGCTAAAATCGACTGACCTCCTCCTGCTACCGGGGAGCCGGGGCTGGTCCGCAGCATCCTTTGCTTTTCGGTCCGTTGCCATGGTTACCATCTCCCGGGCGGTGCTGCTGGTGTATTGATTGCAATCCGGAGAGTTTCGGTTTTAGCTAAAAAGAAAAGAATTAAATTTGTGCTGTAAGAAACATCAACCGGAGGGTGCTCCTGTGTCCTTGAGCGGCGTCTGCCTGGCTCGGCTGCGGTGCGGCTGAGGCTGTGCAGTGGTGCAGCTGTGCAGGGCGCAGGCTCGCAGCGCCTGCCTGCCGGGTCCTAGTGCCTTGGATCCATTCTGGCTTGGAAATTTGGTGTGGGTGCCCTGTGGCAAGCACAACACTGGGCTCGGGTGACGGCTACGTCCCCTCCTCCAGCGGCCTGGCTGCGTCTGGCGTTCGGTAGTGTTGCGCCGGACACCCAGTTCTGATGACCTATTTTTGAATAGGCGAGGGGTCCGGAAAACTTTTCTCCTGGTGCTTGGGTGGCAGTGTGGCCTTCAGTGGGCGAGCTGCTGTTGTGTCCCGGGTGCTGTGCCAGGCGCTGGGGTGCGGGGGCACAAGATTTGGGTGTTTTCTGCTTTCTCTTCAAAGGTGGTGCCTGTCCCTGCAAGCCCTGTCTCTTATCGTCAGGCAGTTGTGGTTCAAACACCAAAACGCATTGGATTATGTTGTTTACAAGCGACACAGGCTAAAGTGCTTTATTTTAGGTGGTGAATGCCTCTAATAGAGGAGTGGCTATGTGGCTGGTCTAGTGCCTGCATTGCTGTGGTCTGCAGCAGCCCGAGCTGCAGACGAGAACCTTCCTGTGCTGTAGGTGTAGGGGGACAGGATGAGCAATGCTCTGTGCTCCAAAAAGACACAGTCTAAATATAAAATGGTACATGTTAGGATTTGGACACATGGAAAATATGAAGAATTTATGGGGAAGTAACGGTCAGCGTGGTGGGCTTCAGTCTCACTATAACAACACAGTATCAGTCATCCATTACTGGATGTCATTGCAAAGGAGAACTTTAATTAAGGTTTTTAATGGCTCAGCAGATTCTTCTCTGTATTATTGGCCCATATAGGTGGCTCTTGGGAGACAGAAATAAGACTGTATTCCTACTAGCAGTGCTGGAACAGGAGCTGGAGTTGAGATTTGCTCTGGCTCTTGCACCAACCACAGGGCTGAAATTTGCCTTTCATATACCTGCCCATCACACTGAACAGTGCTGACTTTCATAACCAAGAACAAACCTCAAAGAGGAGGGAGCTGGTACAGAGGTATAACTGGGCAGATCGAGTTCTCCTTGCAATCGTTCCACTTCTCAGGAAGAATAGACAAGAATCCAGGCTGACTTCCAGGTCACCTGGGGGAGTATGCATAGCTTAGAGTTTAATTAAAAAAGTCTTAAACTCAGCAAACTCAATCTGGATTTATATTGACACAATATAAGACAGAACCCTGAAGTGCCGTTTTTAAAATTTCTTTTCTGAACACAAGTTTGCTGGAAAACTAAGCTGCTTATAAATCAAAAAGAAGCTTTGCTGAAGCAATTTCATGGGGAGATGTGTGTGTGTATATAAAATATATATATATAAAAAAATACACTAAGATGGAATTTTGCTCTTCCTAAATAAATAGTGGGGAGTTTTCTGCAGGTTTTTGAAAATTCCTGCTCAGTTTGCTTAAACTGAGTAAACTGTTAGTGTTCAAGCTACCTGGCGTGTGGACTGTTTCTTATCCCAGATTTCAGCAAAAAGTCTGAAGGTTCTAAACTCAGTGTTCCTTGGCTTTTTATGATAGTTTTTCTGTAATGATGATTATTACATTGAAAGTTTGGGCAGCTACCAGACAATTGTTGTGGGTCCTAACAAAGCTATGGCTGCGAACAGCATGCAGGATGGCCCATGTCCCTGGGGAGGAAGGGTGCTGCAGCATCGGTGCCTTACCCGTAAAGGGTGACGTGCAGAGATCTGTAACATTTGCCACTTTTTTGCAGGTGAATGAAGATTGCCCCAAACTTGGGTAAGAATGACCTTGATGTGTGAAGTATTCCCCAAGCTGACCTAGTTCAGTCTCCCACGCGAATACATGTCTCCTGAGATTCTTTGACTTGGATTTGTGAACAAACACACAGGCAGCTTTTATGGTATGTGTTATCGCCTAATAAACACCTAAATGCCGGAGAAGGGGCTGTGCTGGGGTTACTGCTCGCTGCACTGGTCCCTTCCCTGGTGTGCCGGCCCCTGCTCAACACGCTGCCTTTGCCTGCCCTTGTCCTTGCTCTGGAGTCCTGGCTTTTCAGCATCGAGGGTGCAAGGAGGTCTGCTAGAACCATTCCTGCTTGGGACGCACAGTGCCCTATTATAACAAGAAATTTTCTTGGTGGTACTCTAAAAGGTGAAGGTGGATCTGGAGGCAGGTAATGTGCTTGCCCAGCAGCTGATGTTGCTTGGGAATAAACTACGCCAGTGGACTGTCAGAGGCTTGGGGTTTATTGTGTGCAGTTGAGATGAACTGGGCAGGAGCTGCCTTGAGTGCAGCTGGGGATCAGGCAGTAGGAGGGGAGACCATAGTCTTTATTAAGGCTAGTGTTTCCTATGATTTGCTAAACTAAGTTTATTTCAAACAGTAAATTTATTTCAAAGCTTTAACATGAATCAGAAAATTGGGTATGTTTTTGTGGAAAAGGGGATGCTGTATTTTCTGGTAGCTGTGGCAGCCTCTGGAAATGCCAGGAAGATTTATTCATCGTAGTTATTTTGTTTGGTTGAAACAGCAGTTCATCCAAAAATGACAGTGTCTAAGTTTGGAGAAAAAATTAAATTGTTTTCCTCTCTGTAGAGCAGGCTTTGGGCTGAAATCTACCGGTTCTACAGAGGCTGCAGCAGCCAACAGCCAGCTTCATCTTAAGGATATTTTTCTTGTTTGCACTGATTGCTTAAGACCGACTCAAAGTGCTTTAATTACAGAAAGCCTTACATATCCCCATGTAATGCAGTTTCAGTTAACTAATAAAACTACTGTCTAACCTTGGCTTCTTGTCTTTCTGTCAAGTTTTAATTTTCATCCAAAGTCCACATAGTAAATGAGAAATTAAAACAGAAAATGGTGAATGGTGCTACATAATGGTGTTATGTTAAGAAATGGTATCTCCCTGAAGGTGTCGATATTATATCCTCCTGGTTGGCAAAACAGTGATTTTAATGTTCAGCCTCCATCTGTTCACAAACGCATTTTCAAAGGCTCTTGCTTTTTTGTTTATACTTATTTCAGTATGGGTTTAGGAAATCTCAATGCAAAGGGTTGGAGTTGGTACGTTTTATGTCCTTGCTGTGGTCTGGGGCTGTAAAGCCCCTCCAACGCTGCAGCCAAGCAGCCTCCACACATCCCCCACCTTCTGACCCCCGCGTTCCAGTGGTGAGGGTGGGAGGAGGAGGATGGGTAGGTGCAAGTGCCTTTTGGCAGACAGAAGACCCGCTGGTAGAGTTGGGAAAAGTGTGGGGTCTGGGCTCAGAGATGTGTCCTCCATTGTCTTGTGGGTGTGGGAAGCTGGGGTCCCCGAGCGGGAGGGAGTGCAGAACCCTCTAGTGCTGCGGGGTTGGTGGTCCCCAGGTGGGCTGGGCTCCTGGCAAGCCTGCTCCTCCAGCAGTGTGCATTGGCTCTAGCGTGATGCTTCTGACACTTTCGGGTGCTGGGCTCCGGCACTTTCAGGCGCTGCTGTTGGGATCTCTTTCCTGTGTCTTGCCCTTGGAGGGAACAAGCGTTTCTTGCTGCTGTTGCAGCTTTTCCTGGGTGGCCGCCTGGCCCGCTGGCTTTGGGCCAGTTAGGGTGGCTTGGGGGGTGCTGAAGTTTGGCATCTCTCGAGGGCTGGTGTCTTTGGGTGGCAGAGGTGCGCCCATCAGCACGAGGTGTAGGTGGCTCTGTTATCGTTCTTGACCTGTTTCAGTAGCTGTAGGACTTCGGTGTTCCGTGGGAAGCTTTCAGGGAGCTCTGGTGGAGCATCACTGGCAGTCATTACTGTCTGCTGTAGTTCCAGTCCTTCTGTAGCATTGTGTGTTTTAAGAGGCTCCTTTGAAAATGAAGGCAGGTTCCAGCCTTGGCATTGTAGTGACAAAGAGAGAGTGTGCTTTGATTGCTACGAGCCTGCCCATGCTCGAGCAAGTAGCTTGAATGGTCTCTAATATTTTAATTTAGCTTTAAGTGACCTGAAATTGAGTCTTCTTCCCCTTTCTTTGTTGGTAGCTTTTGTATAGACTGCAGAGGCTTAAAATTGCTGCGAACTTATTGTCCCTCTTGGGGTTAATCGTAGGCTTGTTTTAAATGTAAAATGTTTTCAAGTTATGCAAAACTGTTTTTAGCTTTTCAATGAAACTGTAACGAGTCCCTAATTGGATATTAAAAACTCAATGTGTGTTCTTACTGGAAATACCTTCACTGCATACTCCTTTGTGTTGCTTCATTCACCCAGGTTTGATTTCCATCACTGCTGTGTTTGTGGGTGATACTGAGGGGAAACTGGGGAATTTGATGTAAGCTCGTTCATTGATGCCAGTGGTGGAGTCCCAGGTGGGTCTGCGGTGCCCCACCACCTGCCAGTTCGTTATCAGTCATTAGGGTACTGGCTGCTGAGCTGACTGGTAGAGTGGGCTCTGTTGGGATGCTTCGGGGAAAAATTTGTGTGTTTATGTGGGAAAAACTCCCTTGCGCTTCAGGTTTAACATGGAAAACTCGGACTGGGGAGGAGGGAGAAATTAGTTGTGTAGCATTTGCCATTTTCTTTTTAAAGGGAGAAATACTCTTTTAGCTACAGCTGGTCTTGCTGGGAGGAAAACCTTCCTGATGTTTAGTATTTTTCTTGTTTCAGCGTATGTCCTGTTATTCCTAGGGCTCTGTGGGAAGAACAGTGGTAAGTTCCCGTCCCTTGAGAGGGGGAAATGTCCCACATCACCCGTTCCCAGGCTGCTACAGGACCATTCACCCTTCTGCACTTTCTGAAGTCCCTCTGACATTCTGTGGCTGTTTCCCAGTTTCCTTCGTACTTAGAGGAAGGGTTTCTTTAACTTCATGTCCCTGCTTGTCGTTCCAGCCTCTCCTTCAAATATAAACACCACTGTCGCTCTGCTGGGGTTAGCACCCTTCAAATATTTGTGCAAGACGGCCATGTCCTCTGTTCAGCCAAGGGCTGTGTCCACAGTTCTCATATGTCTCGTGCTGCAGCCAGCTGTTTCTCTGGCTCTGCCCCAGCCTTGGAGGCCCAGGTCACACAGGAAAACAGAAAAAACTTTAGTATTTAGATTCCAGATTTCCTGAGTCTGTCCCGCACCTTGATCACAAGAACCTTTTTTCCTCTTATATTAAACTATATGTATGAAAGCAGCCTGAATCAGCGCTGCCCCCAGGGCTCTTCCCATCCCCAACACCAGTAACGGGTTTCTCTTCCATTTCGGGGGTGCAGCTCTGAGTTACCCTGCCATCATCCGATGTCGAGCTAGTTTGCTGCTCTTGTTCCGGGGCAGACAAGTGGCAGCCTCTGCTCCTGAGCCAGGACTGAAGCTGAGCTGTGTGCAGGGTTCTATGGTCAGGCACGTACCAGATTTCCATTCTCCTGGAGACTTGGAAGTGTGCTGCTGCATCTCCCAGTCTGAGGGAAGTGCTCAGGGCTTGCCTGGTTCTGCAGAGATGCAGCGTGTAGATAGATAGCTCCCTCATTGGTAAAATCAAGTGGACCTTGGCTAAAAAGGAAAAAAAATACAATAAATGGAGTGGATGTAGTTCGTGCTAGAGAAGAGCATGGCACAGTGTCTGTTCTGGGTCAGAGCAAGAGCCCATCTTGGCCAGGAGCCTGTCTTAACAGTGGTCAGTAGCGGCTGCAGAGGAGAAGAATATTAGAAAAAGGTGAAATATGGTGATGTTTCCTCCAATGTAACCTCCCAGATTCTTGCAGTGAGTTGCTGGAGACTTCCGAAGCTGGAGGTGGTACTTCCCTCTGTGGTTAAAAGCAGCACTTGACAGATTTTCTAAAAGGGAAAAATTTTGGTTTAATGCTTACTAGAGAGGAACCACAAGAGTCCTAGTCTTGTGAGCCTGAGCAGAGTAGGGAGCGTGCACAGTCCTTGTAGAGGAATGAGGGAGATTTGACAGAAGGGGTGTTTTTAGCCTGGGGGGTTTTTTTGTCCCACAGCTGTTGGATTTGTTGGATGTGAATGGGAGACCCCCCCCATGCTCCAAAACCATCTTCACTGCCGGGGGCTGCAGCAGTGATGCATCCCACCCCTCCTTTGTTTCATTTATGGATCAGTGCAGGGGGAGTACCGTGATCCTCTTCCCAAAGTGGTCAGCTTTAGTCATACTGCGGTCGGTAGAGAAAGACAGAGCGACCTGATCTGGGACAAACTGCCTGTTTCTGACCAGCCAACGCATCACTGTCTGCTCTTTCCAGCCCTCTTTGGTGTTGCTTTGCATTCCTCTCTTCTGGTGATCACTGTGGTTTGGCCTGTCCTTCTCCGGAGTGGAGGTTTTCATGCAGAGCTTTGGGAACCTTCGCCTGACAGGTTGTGCAGATGCAAAAGTATTTACAATGCGTGGGAAGGCTGGGAGAGGCTGGAGTTCGGGTTCCTCCTGCTGCACTGGCTCAGCCGCACGGGTGCAGGGCTAGCTGAGCTGATGCTAGTCTCAGTTTTTCATAATTTCATTGTGTTCGACTAGTTTTGGTTGTGTTTGACTTGGGTTTTCTTCAAATAATGCAGGTTTTGGCATCTAATGTCCTTGATCTCTCCTAGAGCTGACAGAGTTGAAGGGAGTGGAAAGACACTTGGGCCTTTTTGTAACTTTCTCAGAGACTTAGGAAGTGACGAACAGGTTTTAACTTCCCTTTTGTGCTGGCTGTCTGAAGTAACGTGGAGTAGGTCTGTTGACTGCAGTGTGCTTCTCCAATGGATAATTTAACCTTTGCTTTGCATGAGAAATATAATTGTGCTTTGACAAAACCCTGTAGCTTTTCAGAGCGGTCTTGTGGAGCTCCTGGAGCAGTGGCAGGGTTTTCCCATTGGTGGGGAGTGCCTCTCCCGGTTTGCCCGGCAGGTGTGGTTATCCTTCTGTTTGCTCACTGTGGGCAGTTTGTAGCTGTGGTGGTCAGTGAGTGTCTGG